CAATGCATTAAGAACTGCCATACGACATCTACATCAAGGTCTTATCCAAAGGGATAAGAGTATTAGACAAAGAAAGAACAAACTAGAGAAACAAGGCAGAGTAGACCCGATGCAGAGGAGGAAGGGAGGTGAAGACACTCGCGCAACCTGTGGTTGACCGATCCAACTATGGGACACCCTTCAATCTACTCAGGAGAGGATGGCACAAAATCTCCAGGACATCACGGCAAGGATCCAGACCAACGATAGCTAGATCTGGACAACCAACGAGCCCCTACACAGGAAAGAGTCGAGGGTCGCCGGAATTGTAAAAACAAGCTGTACAAGAACACAAAACAACACAAATAACCAGAAAACAGAAAAACCAAAAGGGGTCACTGGAAAGGGACTCAGAAACCGACAGACCCCGAAAGGTCATCGAAGGAAATCAACAGACCCCAAAGGGTCATCAGAGGAGGGAGCACAGGCCGGCTCCAATATGCTTGAGCGGCCGGGGAGCCAAGCGGCTCAAGCATCAAAACCTCGGAAGCTCAAAGGTTTCCGATCAAAACAAATGCAGTGTCGGAGAAGGGAGCAGAAGCAAGAGAGAAGGAAGAGAAAAAACAGGGGGGGGGGGGATAATCCGGTCGGTTTTCCCCCTTTTATTTTAATCAACAACTAACGTTCTGGAAAGTTAACCCTGTAAAGCAGAATTTTGGTTGCAATCAGTCACACTTTCGGAGCTACTTACTCGGGGAAGGACTCAGCAATACAGAAGCTTGTGATTACTGTTCCTATGACTTGATTTATCAGTAACTGATTTTTGATTGAGTAGAGCAACGGGGTGTCGTAGAAAGTTCTTCCTTGGGGAAAATGTTCTGCTCCAGATGGGAAGCCGGCGATTGGTACCTAGGGGGTGAACAATGTAAAGAAAAATACAGGTCCAAAGTTGAGACTCTGGGTTAAACATTGGGAAAAGAATGTCCCTAGGAAGGGAAGCAATTCCTGTTTCTTCAAAGAAAAAAAGGACAGAAAACAATTACTACTATAATTCAGCAAGTAGAAGAGGATAGATCTGATTCTTTTATGCAAAGAAAAGTATTTT